ACTGAAAACGAAAGTTATCACTTTATCTCACTCGCGCGAAGCGTCAATTACGTCTACCGACACTTAAAGCTCAAGGTCAGTCCCCAGCTGTTATACTTTGAACCGTAATGTATTTTGTCAGTATTTTGGAGTGCTTACGTGTAACAATGCATGTCAATGTGACCTAATTTATCCTAGATGCAGTCACACGTCCCAGTGTAACCTACCATCATCATATTTGGGCACTGAAACTCAATCTAGGGCTAATTGTAATGGTAAATAAACGAGCGCTTATATCAGTTTTCGGACAAGATTGAGAATGGTAACTTAAGGCTAAGGATTTTCGGAACCAACGAATCTTCTCCAGTCATTCATCTGGAAGTTTTCAGTACGGTAGTTCCTCAACACTTAAGAGACTTATTTCCTTGAGGACATACAAAGATCTGCGACCAAATTATCTGTTGGACTGAGGGGGAAGAGGACATAGTCTGACATATTACCACATTCACTAGCTATCACATTGAAGAACAGTCCAGTATTGTCTTCAGTTTCTCCCAGCTTTATGCGTATCGTCATACATGCAAAGGCTGCTTGTTGTCATCCATATCTTCAATGTGACCAGCACCATCCTCTTTTCTTTAACATAAGCTAACATACAGGTTGATAGTGCAGACTATAGAAAGAATGATGACAAGAGTAACACTTATTACAGTACGAATACTTGTATTTTCCTTGGAATATTCGATGTTTGCATAGGAATAAAAAGCTTTGACTTGAGTGAGAATCAATTTTGAGATTAGAAATCGAATAAACACAGATAATTTAAAGGGATGCAGAGCCATCATACTTGTAAAAATACAAGGGAATCACTATTCCTTGCCTGCTATACAGAGTTATGATGCCTTCATCACTCCTAACTTAGAGTGAATACATTCTCTGCCTCGCCTTCCAAAATGTATGCGATGATAGCACGAACTCAAGCGACTGATTTGCCCTTGTCGCTTAGTACTCTTCCCCTACCTCGACAATTCTAACAGTGATTCCACAATACGTGAGGAGGGTTGCGAGGACATTCAGTGCCAATGACACGTAATCTGTGCACACCATCTATCTTGAATGAGGATATCTCATATGCATAATTTGGCAGCGTGAACTGCAGCATAGAATATGCGTCCTTCGATAGGTGGTCGGATATTAAATAGTAGAGAAGATTTGTAGTTGTACATCTCGCCAGTGAACAGATGCCGAACGAATCTCTCGTATGCGAGCTAAAGTTTCGTCAGTAACTCATTCGTTCGAGCTGACACGACTTTTGAAATGAGTGATCAGTGCATTCTACCACTTAACCCACTATCATTAAACCAGGAGTTGGTGCATACCAGTCGTAAAGCATCATTTCACACTTGACAAGTGCAGAACGCATAACAAAGCCTCAGATTTCTGTCTTAGACGTTCGAGAGACCCTGCATTTTGTTAGTATCTACTTCTCACAGGACAGTGTGGTTTGCATACTTCAAATCAACCGTGTCCTCGAGAGAGTAAGTCAGTCCTTATAAAGTTGGAGATTCCGAGGGTTATAATCCTTAATACGTGTTTAACGAAGTTGAAGGGGAACGTTGATAGTTGGTATACGTGGTGGACAACACTGGTTGTTGTCACACATGACAACTGTGCATAAGTCCTAACACGGCCGTGTAAGTTCGAGTCGAGAACTTTAATTAGCATCGCCCAACGTTGCTCGGTACTCCGTTTACAGTTAGACACTGCTACAAAATCTCATAGTTTGTAGGGTCAAGTATTACCGATAGGTCTAGAAATATAGTGTGTTGGACATCACTAAGTATCCTTTTTTTCTTAAATCCATGGTAAGGTGAATATCTCATCGATGCACCCTCGTCCAGGTCTGAAACGCGCCTGATTTTCACCAGTTCTATGTTCTCGAACTCCGGTTTGGTGTTAAATGACGATGGACTAGAGGATCTTGAATGCGGTACTAGTTAGTAATAAACTGTATATCTCCTAGTTGTCACTAAAAATTCTCTACTTTTTATAAACTGGAGTAGTCAGTAATATAAGCTTGTCTGATGGGGTTACCTTTGATTCGCACAAGCTACCTAGTACCACCGTTACGCTACTTAATAACTTTCTGCCTCCTTCCTTAAAAGGCCCTAGTGATAAACAGTCAGGTCCTGATGGCGTGCATCTTTTCATGTTTAAAACATCGTCGAATTCGGGCGAATTCGGAGGAGTGGTATCAACGTCCTAATCAGGATCGGGTTGGATAGTGGGCAACCGAAGCTTGCCGCGGACCAGTTGAACTATGCTTCAAAGTGTTTTGATCAACGTTTTAACTATCCGCCCTGAGATGTCAGGGCAACATCCTTCCCAGTGATGGTCTCACTAACAATTATCCTCTTCCCAGTATCCCTGAAAAGCCTAAATAATAGTTGAGCATTGCCTAATTATGGTGCCGTCGCCATCTTTTGCACTTTCACTATCCACCACTGCTGGCGATAATTACCAAGACTCTTATTTAGTTTGCACTTGAGCTTCTTTCGCTCCTCATTGTGGCCATAGCCACCTGGTACGAGCTTTCTTGTACCTTAGTTCACCTTTGGCGATGACCTGTTGGGAGTTTTGGAAAGTGTGTGTACCTGGGTAGTTGTGAATGCTGGTAATGTGACTGATGGGATCTCCAACCGTACACCGAAAGCTAGGGTGGGACACGCCAGTTTGGGTCACCTTAAGCGCCGTCGTGATGGTAACTTTACTGTAAAAGGTCAGGTATACAGCACATCTATTCAGGTAGTTTTTCTCTACCCCTGTGAGACCTGACCTTGGAGCTGGGGACGTTCAACTATTCTGTATCGTCTGCATATAATTTTTCGCATGCGGTGGAAATACCAAATAAGTAGTTCTGAGATGAGGCAAAGCGTGTTAAGCTTTGATGCAGATCATCATTCATTGAGTGCGGCCACCTTGAAACACCGGGTTCGGTGGCTCGGACATGCTTTATAGATGTCATCACTTTTGCGTCTCCTTAATGTCGCTACATTTTTTCGTATAGCGTGTCTCTTGCTACCCGTCTAATACCAAGCTTGTATCCTTTTAATAGTAATATCAAGAATAATAAGAATATATTTTGTCAGAAAAGGTTTTGGACCTCATGTTTTCCGTATTGCGTGACATAGTGTGTGGGAATAACGTAATCTACTACCTAAAGAAACAATGAAAAGAAGAAAGCACCGAGTAAAATAGAATTAACGCATTTTCATATTCGCATTGATTTTTAAATGTTTTCGTTTTGGCAGCAAATACTGTCTAGACTAGTATATGTTAGTCAAGTAACTAGGGTCAGTCTAGTAGTGGACTTATTCGCGTAGTCTGTGAAATAAGCTCTATGAGTTGAAAACGTTTATAGATTGATTGTTTCCTGTTGTCATAGCCTTTTGTCATCCGGCTTTCTTAATGAATCTAGACTTACTCACTACTACATATTATCGTTATGTTTTCTTTCCCGTTGCTTTCTTTTTCTGCTACTGTTCACAATTATTTCACAGACTCAGTCCACATGTAATCTGCTGGGATTTCGTGTGTTCATAGACAACTAAGGCTTGAAATCATGCATCCACAAGTTTGGACGAGTCCAGCGAAATCTATTGCCTCTTATTTGTCTTCTGTTGAAAGTTTTTATCTATGTTTTTACTGCAGAATAGAGATGATACCAGGCTTCTTCGAGATGTGTAGTATTTTGTTCAATGTGTTCAACCTTGTTATTTTCATTTCCGAGTAGATTTAGGAAATATGCTTCAGTTGTAGTAATTTTGCATTCATTAGCACAAAAATGTACAGTGGGAAAAATATATGATCAGCGTCGAAGCACATGTACGTAGGTAAAATCTATAATCCTTAGTCAATTCTCAGTTTAGTCTTGTCACTCGGCTTCTCAAACTTCAACTGTTCTCAAATATTTCCATGGATCGATTCTATCTGATAGCCATGAATTTCTTACACTTTAAAATCTTGTGGACTGTCGTCTGTACTATCCTCACAAGACATGTTTCCTGGATCTCAGGCAGTAAAACGCCTTTAGTAACTGATAACCAAAATAACTGTATCTATCCACAGTGCATCAGACAAGGAATAGCCAGTTTTATCAATTTCGTTAAATATTTTAGCCTGAATACAGGTCATCGAGAGTCAATAAAATACACTTTTCGAATTACCTATGAAGTATTGATTATCCGTTGATAGTATTTAACTTTGTAATAATTGGCTTTGATACTTTTCGAGGCTGTGACTCAAAGGTATATTTACACGACTTAAGCAATCAGGCCACAGTTGAAAACCCAACTTCACTTACCGAGGTTTGGGTAAGCCGAACATTTTCGTGATTAGTTCTTATGCAATAGTTGTAACTTGTCATTACCTACTGCACAAATGGCGAAGGGTACTAGGCAAGGTAGGCAAGCCGATTGATTAGGTTGTGGACCTTCATCGACTGAAATGGCTTGGATATGTGTTACACATGCCCAGTCACCGCTTACCTCGACGTACCATGTTAAGGGGAGCTGGATTAAGTCGAAAGAGGGTTAAGGGTGGTCAGACCAAGACTGTTGAGTACCTGGATAGGGTCCCTGAGACGAAAAGCATCAGTAATTGAGAATTGTAGGTGAAATGACTGAAAATCAGTCACAATGGTGTTGACATGTCCATTCTTTGATATCTTTTAAAGCTAAGATTTCCACGCTAACCTTTACCTTAAGCTTTTATTCTCTTACGTAACTCTATCTACTATGATATTACTCTTATTCTATCCACCTTTTATTTGTATACTACTGTATAGTGTGGTGATGAACTTGTATGTGAGGTTCTACGTTAATTCTGTTTGTTTTCATGAATTTAGGGTTTGGTTATTCAATACATTTTGGTATTATGCTAACTTTTTTCGTTTTTTACTTTTCTTTTATAGGTTATTGTTTGTTATCTTTCTTGTATTCTAATAGAACAACTAATTGTAAATGAGTATCAGTAATGTTGATGAGTTGTATGAAAAGACATCAGATGTTATCAATCAACTTATCTTACTTACAAAGTCTACAAAATATGATGATGAAACATTTAATAAATCATTACAATTATTCTTTGATATTTCTAACTCTATTAAAGCATCAATTGATATAACAAGTTATCATATTAAAGTTGCTATCAATATATTATCAAAACCGTCAATAATACGAAATCTTATAAATATATATCGTGAATTAGGACGTAAAGCTATACCATTAAGTTTTACTCCAGTGATTAATTCACAATCTTTATCAAATCCACTTCCTGATATGAAATGGATATTTACATTTATTAATTTTCAACAAATACTTACTACTTATATAAGTGTAAGTATTAGTTTTACACAGATAATTATGAAATCTGATATCTATTTGACAGAAGTAAGACGTATATTAAATCGTTCAATTAATATTGAATTATTTGAGGTTTGTATATAATATTTAATATATAATTTGTATAATACTTTATTTAGAATATAGATTCATTGATAGAGTCTATTATCTTTGGATTGAATACATCATTATTTTATGAAGATGAAATTATTCGAACACGAGTAATAGACTATTGTCTACATAATATTCTAATGCATTATATACATTCAAAGAATTGGAGAATTCAGGTTTGATTCTATATTGTATAATATTGTTGAATAAATTATCTGATTTTCTTTTTTTTATCTACACTAGATGAATACTGCTCATTTCTTAGTGTTCATTACTTATACAGATATCAGTCAACTGCATATAAATGAGATAGAAGTAGTCATTGAGTCATTGATGAAGTATTTTATTTCACTTATTAATGAAGGAATCAAAGATGATGAATTCAATTATATCCGTCAGTTTAATAAAGGTAAATTATTGAAATGATGACATGATTTTAGGTTTATGTAGTCATTTTTTTTTTCTTCTACTTCTATATCACAATCTTAAATCAATGTAGAACCTTGAACAGGAGTGCATTGGTTGAACTTGTCACACTTCATAGAAGTACACAAAGAATGGATGGTTAGTGAGAGAATAAACAATCTGTGAATATTTAAATGTCCTTTTGTCTACAAGACACCAACAAGATAGTCTGCAACTCTTCTGTCCAACGGTCAGGGACTTTGTCAACTGTTGCCATATCTTAGTCTGGTCACCCTCAACTTTCTTCCAACCTAGTCCACCTTCTTCGTAACATGGGATTGTTATTTGGAGTACATAACCATACCATCACAGCAGTCGACTAATGTTCACAATCTCATTATTCGACTTGCTTATCCTTGCCTAGTACTTTTCACTTGATCTCAATATGGCTCATACGGTGATTTCACCACACGTGAGCAATGCTTTGAAGGCAGCTACGATCAAAACCCTCTAATCACTTCATATCGTCTACTTTTAACTAACATGTCTCACAGCTGTACAACAGAACAGAACGGATTGCAGCGCAGTAAACTCATCTTTTGATACATAGCTGGATATCTCACCGATACCACAAAGGACGTAACTGGGCAAAAGCCAAACGCACCTGAAATTTCATCGGCAGCCAGCCTGTTTGAGTGGTCGATGCATCCCACCGCTTCACTCTCCCGATAATTAAAGTAGGAGTACATGCAGCAGACCAGTCCTGGAGCATCATCATCTTACATTTGACAGGTGTGAAACTCATACCAAACATATTCAGTTTTATACTCAACGCATCCAGTAGGTCCTGCATCTTGTCAGCGTCTTCGTCTGATAAAATGAAACAAAATAAAAACTATATTGATGCATTGGTTGAAATTATCACAAGAAGGTAGAAGGAATAAATGCTCAATTGTATCTGTTTCTTTGTTTTATAGCTATAACTGTTTACCTAAGCTGGGTTTTTATAAAATGCTTGTTCATTGAGATTTTTATTAATCAAAGAAGGTCAGTTAGGGACTGGTGAGGCTGAAAACGGAGAATTTAACAAATGAAATACTAATGAATACTTCTAGATCGAAAAGTCATACTATTGCCTACTGAAGTGTAAAATGTGTCTTTTATTGAGAAGGTGCATCTTCAGTGTTATCAATTTCTTGTCTTTTGAAGGAGGGATGTTAGAAAAGAGCTTTAGAAATCATAGGCAATTATCAACAAGAGACAATGTGCGTATGAAGAGCAAATCGAGATAGAAAAAGAAGAGGAAATGAAGCATGTTATGCAAATGACTGTTTTAGTGGAAAGTGTACAATATATGATGACTACTGTAGAAGATGTTAATAATAAACATTCCTTTTTGCGTCTGAGTTTTGTCGTTTCCTACAGTTGGGGTTGTTGTTTCTGGACGTGATGAAGATTCTGTGACCTGCAGTGTTCGAGGATGGAGACACCAAGTTCTTCCTCAGGGACTTCAAGTCGATCACGGAGCTGGTGGGTGTCCGGAATCCAGGAGTGAAGGTTGTTGTGCTTGGCACGTTGCTAAGGTGTAGAGAGAAGGCGGCATATAACGGCGTGGAATGTGTGAATGGGAAGGAGGCTTGGAAAAGAATGGTTGGACGACTGAAGGTGGAGTTCGATAGCCCAGCGTAAAGGGAGCTAGCGATGCAGCAGTTTCGTACTACGAGACTTGGAATGGAAGAAGACCAGCTGGTATTGGCTGTGAAGTTGACAAAACTACTTCGACAAGCACTTCCCGCTTTGGATGAGGACTCCGAGGAGCAGTTTCTGTCTGCACAGCCCAATGAAGGTGTCCCGAAGGCCATCGTCCAGTAGCTACGACTAGTGAACGCAGCCTAATCCATGGATACTAATGGCTGTGCGTGGTGGGGTGCGCCTGTAATCTAGCTACTTGGAGACCAGAGTGTTGTACTTTACAGGACTGGGAGTCCTGGTGTATCTCCCTGTAGAGTCCGATTACTTCATTCACCAGTACCGGAGGTTAACTGTTGGCATATTCACCCATTGTTGGTAATTGCCTATGGTTTCTGACGTCCTCTCAACATATACTACTTATATCCAATCTGATCAGCAGCGCTCACTATGGCATGAATTCGAGTAGAGAGTCTTGATTTGGATTGCTTTACATATTTATTTTTTAGAGTCAGGGCCTTTATCCTTCAGATACCTCACGAAGGCATCAACTTTCGCGATGTGGCAGGCAGGAAGTACCAACCATTCGCATGGTTCCACCAGTACACAACTGATTATAATCTACCTTTTCATACCATCACCTCTTTACTTGCCATTACTAGGATTATGCTCCTTAAAGGGTTTTTCAACTTCCTACTCGATGATCACTAGACAGAAGTGTCTATATTAACAAAATATTATCTCTACTCTTGGATGAAAACAAATTCTGAAAATCTACTAACGAGAAAAATAAGACGGAACTGATTTAACAACAACCTACTGATGTTTTGAAAAGGTTAAAAAAATGATCAGCTAATATCTAATGAATTTGTTGATTGTATAAGAGACAAAAACATGTTGAATAAATGTATGATATCATTTGATGTTGAGTCACTTTTCACCGATATTCCACTTACCAAAATTATCTCATTCTTAGATAGATACATAAAAGCATAACAACACAAATATGGGGATACCGACCCTTCGCTTTAAGAAATTGTTATTTAGATGCGCATTCAACGTTCAATTCATATTTAACAATATGAATTATAGACAGAAAGATGGAATCGTCATAGGATCCCCACTAGATCTATTACTAGTAGACTGTTTAATGGCTAGTTTAGAGAACGGATCATTGAAATCAACGATTGAAGGTTTTGCAACTGTACAAAAGGTACATAAATGATACTAAGTGGTTATCTTCTGTAGAGATTTTTTCATAGATTTTATTTATAATTTTAGAGTTTGATGTAAGATAATTTCAGAGAGGGGGAGAGAGGAAGAGATGAGTTTTCTAGCGTTACTATTCACTTCCATCAATAAAGTCTTAAGTTGATTTCTTTAAATGATGTTGAAGGTGTTATCCCTTTTTAAGTAACGAAATTTATCACTCTTCAAAACTTCATCATTTCAAATTCTTCACTTTTTAATGCATACATATATGCATAGCTAAGATTTCATATGAATAAGTATAAGTTGAATCTATCTTATGGTGTTCTTGTTTTGTTTTTTTTTTTCTTTTGGTTTATTGTTTTTCTCCTCGAAATTTTAGTCCTACGTATTTTAGCTCTAAACTCTAAATACAGAATTATCTTAATTGTGAATGGTGTTGTAAATTATTTAAATCTATTGGAGAAGATTTTACCTAATGATGAAGAAGAAATATTCCTTACTCTACGTATTATATCATCAGAAATATCTACAGATAATGCTGTTGAAGAAATAAAGTTGCTAGCAAAAAAGAATTATGATAAAATAACAAGTTTAGAAGAAGAACTTCGAGTAGTCTCCTCCGATGTATGTAATGATGCAGAGGATGAAGATGACAATATTTCACCTCCAGTTGACACTGGAGGTGAAACAAATTATACAGGTAGGTAAAAGCATTACAAATTGTGAATAGATTTTTAATGATAACGAGTTAACAAATCACTTTGGTATAGTTAACACCGGTGAACTTGTCTAATTCAAGTAGAGTTTGTCAGCGGCAACCCATTGGTTGGAATTTATAAAATGGGGAGTATTAGAGAAAGCCTATCTATATCCCTTATATTCCACATTTACCGTTGTAATTATTTAAACTATGTTATTTCGCGCTCTTTTTCCTACGCATGGGTCATATTTCGTATGACCTGCTAGGATTCCGATTGACTCCTGCCTCTTTAAATGTATTAAATATTCCTTATCTTTCAAGGTTATTGTAAGACTCTATAATAGATAGGGGTCCATTCTCAGTCCGAGATATTATAAACTCATCTAGTCTCCAGTCTTTTCAGTTCTCTTTGCGAATCACTCGGGTTGAATCGTCTCAACCCTCGACTATCAATCGTTAATTATTTCCATTCGTTCTCATAACTCAGCATCATAACATGGAGTCTACTGTATCTAGAAGCCCGTAGAAAGATGAACTTGATTGTACCATTGTGTGTACTAGTGTATGAGAAAGCTTTGAATTAAATTTATATTCTTTGTTGCCAATATAGACATCGATGTCTGCCATTTAATTTTCGATTTTTATGTTTTGTTTAAGGATTTTTTTGTAATTTAATATTTCGTTTCAATTTCCTATTCATCCACAAGTTTGCAGGTATGTTTCCCTGATAAAAAGGTCATAAAAGTTATACTCAAGACTAGATAACATGAAATTAGTGATTATTATCCAGTGACTAATCAATACAGCTAATCCATTCCTACGAGAAGTCGATCGTTGTCCGACTAGTTCAGTGGTAACGTCTCTGACTACAGTACTGTATGATATGATTTAGAATCTTTGAAGGGGGATACCAATTATATCGAGGTTACAGATACCTTTTGCTGATGAGTACTAAAAGCACGAAATCTTGGTTATACAGGATTTCAGACTTGTTGTCTCCATCCAATTAACTGTTAAACCTCCTCTGACATCTGTTATCTCTGTTAGGATGCATTGTCTGAGTATTTTGTAGATGGATTTTATCATGTTCATTGATCCAGTAACAGGAAGAAGTGTTTGCTTGGAAAAGTTTTCAGCATTATAGTCCATTGATGTTACCAGTCAGTTAGTTATCTAGGATACAACTGAATGCGCACCAACTTAAGAAGCATACTAACCGATATCATTTAATTTTATACAAATATACCATACAGTGAAGACGGAACTTCAAGGGAACGTAGAGAAGACACAGGTGATGGAGATACCCAACCAAAACAGCATCAACAACAAGCACCAATCACCATCAACAGGAGGAACTTAACGGAAGTAGCATCTTTCACCTATCTAGGCAGCATCGTCTCAACTACAGGTGGCACAGACGAGGACGTCAAAGCAGCCAGGATCGGTAACACAGAAAGACAGGCATTCCTTCATTAACCTGAAACCAGTGTGGAGATCTTCTGCACTGCACTCAGTATAAAGCGTGAACAACATCCAGATTTTCAACACCAACGTCAAGTCAATGCTTCTATATGGTTCAGAAATTTGGCGCATCACGAAAAGCACTCCCAACAAACTACAGACATTCATCAACAGATGCCGTCTACCCTCACTCGATACTGAAGATCAGATAGATTGCCAGAATAATAAGAATAAGCAACAAGGAACTCACTCTGGGAACGAACCAACCAAGAACCTGTCACTCAACAAATATTCAGTGGAAGAAAGTGTAGATGGATTGGGCATGCACTGAGAAGATCATTTGGAGACATCATGCGTCAGGGCGTGGAGTGGAATGCAAAGGGGAAACAACAAGTTGGGCGTCGCATCTGAGGGTGACATGAAGGAGATGATGTGAGGAAGAAATGAAAGCTTGTGAGCTGTCGTGGAGCCAGATTAAAAAGACTGCAGAGAATAGAGTGTAATGGAGACGTACTACTGAAGCCCTATGTTCCATTAGGAACCCAAGGGATTAATAGTAATAATAATAATAATACCATACAATAGTTGATGACAATCTTGTGAACAGTTTCAAAAGGCTGTTCACATTTAACACAACTTGATTGATACATTTTAGTTATCACTTAGAACCAATATGACGACTGAAGTCAACGTGAATTTATGGTTAGAGTTAGATGATTTTGTTACGTTCACTTATTGAAATACCTAAACCTATCAGCTTGAATCTTTTCAAAGCATAAGGATTACTATTTACTTCAATACAGTTCCACTGACATATCTCGAACTTCATATTGGAAAGCACTGGACAATTGCTTCGTCCTAGCATGACACTCGTTAGCAGTACGCACTCATGATCTTGCCATGGATCGAATCCAGTACCTTCAGGTTCCGTGGTTAGCATGCTGCTATTGAGTTACCTGATGGGAATCCAATTACCCATATTTCCTACTTCTGTCAGTTCATGATATAACGCTACTTTCATCCATTGTCTTCGTTGAGTAATTGTCCTCAAGTCAGACTTGGTTTTCTCCACCTGTCATGACTTCAAAATGTGATTTCCGAAGTTCTCATGAAAAGTTGTGACTGTTGGGGCAAATCAGATTGGACGTGAGGACAAGTTACTCAACGATGGCATTTAGATAGAGGTCGCGCTATATCTTGAACTGACAGGAGTAAGAAATGCAAACCACTGGATACGGACCTAATGTCTCAATGGCAATGTGGAACTTGAGGAACCCTGGTTCTACCCCCCATAGGGCTATCAGTGAGCATTACTGAAGAGTCCCGTAGTAGGACGAAACATCTATCCAATGTTTCTGTTAGTGTTTCTCTAGTTGATATCAGTCCATGATGGTTACCAACCTGAAGTCAATAAGTAAATCCCCACACACCTCCAACTATTTCGAGTACATTTTACGAACAATAATAATAATAATAATAATAAAGACAGTTCTGTTTATTCCTTAGCTTCACGTTGATTGAAAGGGTGTGAAACTTCTAGATTATCTTTTAAAAAGTTTGTAGTGTCTTTAATGTTGCTGTTATTATTTCTATTATCATTCATTCATTACTTTGTGAGTTCATTAATATACAACCTCAATCTTCAGAGTAGTAACTTTTGAAGTACTAAGAGTGTAGATAGACGGACAGACGATGTTGACTTTGGAAGCAAGAGTGTAAAGCAAATGTTAGTGCTTTATTTAGGTTTTTACTCCACTTTCCAGTTCAGCTCCAAGTTTCAGGACGGATCATCGGGTTATCATTTCTAAAACCTGGAGGTCTGGTCCTCTAACGAACCAGGAATACAACCATATAAAAGGAGCACTACTGTCAGAGCACACCGTGTAACGCTCCCTAAAAGCTGACCAGTGTTATCCCATAACCATCCCAATATCCAGGCTTCAGTGTATCCACATTCGCTGGGTAGTCGGCTGATCGATCACACTTACCTCTCCATGTGCAAACGTGCGTGGGCAATGTCTTACTGGTTATTCACAACCCTGTATGAAGTGATTCAGCACATCTGCCCTTGCCGCTGAAGCTAACATACCGCCTTTCACCAACATTTTAGACACGGAGACATGTTCTCAGGCTACTTAAAAAGGAAATAGACATAGGCTATATCCAGACGATATCCGACATTCTGGACCAAATACCGCCTTATTTGATTGTTTTCAAAGGTGAACGTGATTGAATCAGTTAATATGATTTGAAACCTAGCAAACACTTCGTCTTGCAGTCATTTCATTTGGTAACTCTTAGGTTAGGTTTGGATAAGTGTTGTACAAGTACAAGTGTACTCATATGATGAAACATGCAGAATGACTTTAAAGGACTATGATAACCGATCACATTCCTCTATTTTATGACGCTAAAAGCCAAGTTAGCGACCATTTAAATAATCAATTAGATTTCTGTATTTTGACTAAGAAGGAAGATTTTCCATGAAATGAAGAAATCGAATTCCTGAGTTTAACAGTTACCAATTCAGTCTTCGAAGTCACTTACAGAATCAGTGTCACATGATAGTATCAAGGTTACATGTATACATTCTTAGTTATTATTCCAAGATCATGATATGAATTCATGTCTATTTGTTTGCCATTATAACACTGAACTCTTTTATTAAACCTAGACGGATAGACATGCAAAATCAATGGAGATTCTGGCATACAAGTTGCCACACCTCACCATGGTAATATACAAAGAACAGGGGAATAGAAAAGACTGATATTAAAGTACACAAAGTTGTATGAGAGAGTATGAGACTAGTGTGGATATTCAAGCTTTAAAAAATGTTGAGGAGTGAATACATGCGAGCTATTGTGATCGATTTTCAACCATTTCTCGTCTAGTTGACCTCAGCCAAGTAGTCTACATCTCCCTACATAACTCAGGGCAAACAGTCAGGTCTAGCCACTCTCAATTCTCTCATAACCTAATCCGACACCGACCAACATTGAATGTCAATGTAGGTAGCTGATGGGTCGATATGAACAGTACATGTCTAAGCTATCTCAGTCGACTAAGGTTCACAACCTTATCGACTGACTTGTCTGGTATCCTTCGCCTAATTTCAACATTGCTCACATGATGATTTCACCACACCTATGTTCAGAACCGTGTAACCACTTCATGTTTTCTACTTTCAACGGTCATATCTCACAGCCGTACAACAGGACAACTGACTACAAGGCAAAATACTCGTCGTTTGAGAGATAGTTGGGATATCTTGCCACTCGGCTCCACATATGACACAGGTTGGGACTGTATGTTGGCGATAATGGAAAGAATCCAATGAAATTCATTGAGGGATTGTACAAAGTTGATGGTATTCATAATTGTAGAGTCAATAAACTATCCTATCACCACTGGATAAATGAACAGTAAATATTCATATTTAATCCGATTGCTTCAATTTTACTATTAATTTATTTTAGAAGTAGTATTCATCATGGACTGACATCAGTTGGGGAACCACTGGAAATCTGGGAGCACTGGACAGCTGTCTCGTCCAACTAGTATGGGACTCCTCAGCAGTACGCACCCACGACCCGGCTACGGATCGAACTCAGGACCTTCAGGTTCCACGGCGAACGCGTTAACCATTCAGCCACTCAGTCGGTTTCCAGTGGTTCACAATTTCCAACTTCTGTCAATTCACAACATAGCGTGACTGTCACCCAAGGTCTTCAGTTAGCATCCAGTTAGCTGTCCAGTGCTTCCAGATTTTCAATGATTCCCCAACTGATGTCAGTCCATGATGAATACTACTTCGAAATTAAAAAATTCCCCATTCATCTCAAAAATGCATTACTGTATAGTGCTCATTAGTGACTTGCTTCCAGATAGATATCATGAAGCTCTAATGAGAAGCCGTGACCTGTGGGGTCAACCAGTCGGAAGTGAAGTGGATGCTAACTGAAGACCTTAGGTGATAGTCACGCTATGTTGTGAATTGACAGAAGTTGGAAATTGTGAACCACTGGAAACCGACTGAGTGGCTGAATGGTTAACGCGTTCGCCGTGAAACTTGAATGTCCTGAGTTCGACCCGTAGCCGGGTTGTGGGTGCGTACCGCTAAAAAGTCTTATACTAGTTAGACGAGACAGCTGTCCAGTGCTCCCAGATTTCCAGTGGTTCCCCAACTGATGTCAGTCCATGATGAATACTACTTCTAAATTAAAAGAAATCCCCATTCATCTCAAAAATGCATTATTAATTTGTTTGTTTGTTTCACTTACTATTGAAGTATGCGGATATAGGAACTCTAGTAAATGGATGTTTACTACTTGATTGAAATGAAGTATATATGAATTGATGACCCAGTCTTGTCGTCAAATTATAAAAGGCATTCAGCTTAGTCTTCTTCTCCTTCTACGTGCATATATCTTTGAATGAAGCTTTTAAAAATGGAATAACTTCAGAGGATAACTACAATAGAACAGTTGATAGAAAAAAGTGACTCTTCATAGGTGGAAAGGACGAGTTTTCTTTCCCCCCCCCATTCTGGTGTAATTTTTGTCTATAAAATAATTTAACTAAGATTGCCTCCAGCTTCTTTTTTTTTTTTGAATGTTTCAATCCCTTCTGTAATTGAGATGGATTTCAATAGTTCAAGGTTGTGTAACCTACATCTTATAATGCAATAACTGACAGGTATTATTGTTTGTTGTTTTAAAGAAAGTTAAATCAGAGGACCGTTTTTAAAGAATATTTTGTACTATTTTATAGTGGAGGATGAAAAACTCTCTCCTCAAACAGATGAAAAGAATCCATGTCAACCAAATAACGGTCATATCATGATTAGTTATAGTCATGCAGATGCGATAATAGCGCATAGAATTGCAAGAAGGTTACAGCGAAAAAATATCAAGGTATTTTTTTTCTCTCTATAGATGTTATAACAACAATCATGTGTACAAATCAAATTGTAAATATTGTGGTATTTTTATTTTTGCTATACTAGTTCATCTCTTTCACCTATCTGGACAGTATCGTTTCAACTAGAGGCGGTGGCACGGATAAGGATGTCGAAATCAGAATTGGAAAAGCAAGACAAGCCTTCGTTAGTCTGAAATCAGTGTGGAAATCTACTCCACTCTACTTCACTGCATTCAGCATAAAGCATGAACAAGATTTGGATTTTCAACTCTAATGTCAATCAAGCCAGTGCTTCAATGTGATGGTTGATAGACTTGGCGCGTTACGAAAAACATTTCCAACAAGTTGCAGACATAAATCAACAGCTACCGCTTAAACTCAATCGATACTGAAGATCAAATGGCCATAAAGAATAAGCAACAAGGAACTCTGGCTGGCTGTCAGCGAACCAACCAAGAACCCATCTCCCAACAAATATGCAGAAGAAAGTGGAGATGGGTCTAGCATACACTGAGAAGACTATCCGGGGACATCACGCGCCAGGTCAGACCGTCGAGTGGGAGCCAAATGGAAAACGACGAGCTGGGCATCTTAGCCGAGGGTGACATGAAGGAGATGGTGTGAAGAAGAAATGAAAGCTTGTATGCAGTCGTGGAGCCGGGTTAAGAAGACTGCAGAGAAGAGAGTGAAATGGCGACGTGCTAGTGAAACCCTATGTTCCACTAGGAACGCAGGGGACAAGTATAGTATATTGTTTCATCCCATATATCCTTCAAACTGCTTGTCTACGTAACTTAAGTAAGCTTAATAAAGTGTTCTAAATCAATTCTCTGTCTGTCAGCTCTTTGTAACAATACTTGGCAAACTTTCTAACCGAGGCTGTTTAAAGAAACACTACCCGTTATGCTATCGATTCAGTGATATTCCACCCAAATTCTTTCGACACAGTTCACAGGCTGGATACTTAGACTCGGATACGAATGATACAATTCTAGACGACTAACTCAGATAACGCAAGAACACGACAATATTGGACTGAACTGAGTTTACTCGAATCGAAAGTATGACGATACAACTTTTACACTTATATACAGTACATGCGTCCTTGAGGTGAATAGACTACATAGCATATTAAAAGTGAGAGATTAACCAATAGGGAAACAGCATTTTTAACAGAGGTAAAGTGGAATGAAGAAAAGGCTCGAAAAAGATAATTCAAGTTTTCCATAGAAGTTTAAGCATAAAACTTTCATTTCTGTGAATGTCATATCTTCAACATAAGTAATCAGTGATAACTATCTAACTAAGGCTTGAATAAAGTGGTGGATCATTCTTTACACCTTCGATTAAGTTACACCCTAATTTTTCCCTAGTTAACGGGATCCAGAAATCTGAATACTAGGATCCTATGACTTTACAGAAATCTTTTCTTTTGGAATCTTAAGGCAAGGAGTGCAAAAGTTTTATGCTTTACCAAGGTATTTATTACACTTAAAAGTACTTCAGCTTTCAAACGTTGTAGGCTTTTTATGATTGTCTAACAGACTTTCAGTTAAAGTAATTCATCATCGAAATACCAAAGTGTTTTTACTTATGCTCATGAGTTAATTAATTTGTAGTCTTGTAGTGTACTTGGCGGCTAGCGGTAAGATCCAGGACGTGCGTTTGGTCGCATATAGGACTCGTCGACTAGATGTACTCCATAGTCCAGTGCGTGATGTTCTCATTGAGACTCGAACTCAGTACCAATCACTTCAAACACCAAATCGTTATCCATTAGACCAGTGGGGTTCAAGTGCCTCCTTTTGGGCAATGGATATCAGGTGTTGTTGTTTAATGATGTTTGTAATCTTAGTAGTCATTTTAATATACGCGGTATATCTTATTCTCCCTTACTCTGCATGCTCTATGCTATTATGCCATTATTTTCATCTTGTTGCGTATGTTTTGCCCCTCCACCTCCCCCCGAACCCACTTACTCCCATCAGATTTGGATTGACAAGGATCATATGGTTAAAGAAGTCGATACTTATGAGGGTATGGCAAAGGCTGTACAGGATTCTTCTATTGTATGCATTCTTTTCTCGAAATCATACCAAAATGGTGATAATCCTAAAGCGGGTATGTGTATACATTTTTCATGATTTGTCAATAAATGAAATATAACCAAGAAAACGTTTTACCTTTGAATAAATAAGTTACAGATCAAAGCATTTTTTGAGACTATGCCGATAGCTGCTACCTTGACGTTGTAGTCGAGCTTGGATATCACAATGACGCAACGAGATATGCTAGTGAAACGCTTGTTCCCTGGAGGTCCTACTATGCCAAAAAGATCTGTTGCATAGTGGTGAGACGAAAAGGAGTTATTGTTATTGTATTACTACACTGTTATGGGGGTCCAAGGACGGAGCGGTATAGCTTGTCTGCATGAGGCGTAACAGCAGTAGTGTGTTTTCCTTGGACGACCGGCAGTGCCACATTGAAACTGCCTCCCCTATGTGTACGGAAGGTGGGTTAGGAAAGGTTGGTCCAGAAAATAGCCTACTCCCCTGCCGCATGGTCTTTCGGTGCTGACGATATGGATTTTCTCTATCCAGCGTTAGAACAATCAAGTCTTATACCAGCAATCCTGAAAAGGCTGTGTGTGACAGGCCTCACACAGGTGTCTCATGGACTCTGGGATCACTCAAATCGTTTTCTCTTTCAGGTACCTTAAGAAGAAAATTAACTTTCACGGTACAGGTAGCCAGAAAGTGTAAACTGCCCCCCCCCCAAATCAAACATAACTTTGACTCAGTTTCCTCCCTTGCCTTCACCTCCCGATGCTAATACTAAGCCTCTTACATTTTTACAGTGTGTCGACCACTTCACTTACCTGGGAGGTAGGATCAACTCTGGTGGCTCAGTAACCGATGAAATCTCTGCACAAATACAAAAGGCTAGATTGTCTTTTGCCAACTCAGACAACCCGTGGCGCTGCCGTGATATCTGATTGTCTACTAAGGGTCGCGTGTACTACACAGCAGTCCACTCTGTTCTACTATACGGCTGTGAAATATCGCCATTGAAGGTGGAAGACATGAGAAGGCTTCAAGTGTTCGATCACCGTTGCCTTCGTAGTAGAGGTCGTATTCCGTGGTGTCACCACACCATGTGAGTAACGCAGACGTCAGGTGTAGAGTTTAGGGAGAAGAGGTGAGTCAGTTGACAAGGTTATGAACCTTGATAGACTGAGATAGTTGGCTGTGACATGTGTTACGTATGCCTAGTCGCCGATCGCCTCATCACACAATGTTGGTCGAAGTAGATGCAGGCTGGAAAAAGGCCCGAGGTGGCCAGACTACAAAATGGCACCAATGTATGAAGTCGTTGACTGTTTGTTTGAGACATGTGGGACGATGCAGACTAAGTGGTTGGTGTCTGGTGGACAAGAGGAACCAGTGGTTGGAGACTGACTCTAGGTGATATGGCTGAGAACCGATATCAGTGGCACAGATGTATACATACATTATCCTCATCTTGACCGCTATACTTGATCTCACTATTTTCTCATTCTTCCTTTCTATCTTTTAGTACTTTATATTTCTTCTGACTGAGTTTTCCTATCTTCATCTTGCACCTCATTGCCTTTTTACTTGATGTACTGATATGAGGTGTGGCAAGTTGGACCGTTACGCAGTTATGCCTGGTTCTATGTTGATATAGATGATGATAATGATAATGACAGTCTCTCGTTCTGTGACCGTTGCCAAGGACCCAAGCTATCGAAACCTTATTTATAGTATCCAAAAACTCTACCATCGATTTCTTCTCCTGGCTTTCAACGTTTTAAACTCTATACCAAGTCGGACAGCATCATCGCTCGTCACAACTGTGAAATGTTGAGCTATGGCTGTATACTGTCTCTGAGACACGTATGCAAGATCCAAGTATGGTTATTTATCGATTGACCTCACCTGACCATTGTAGTGAATTTTCAAAATTCACCCAGTGAGTATCCACAGACGCGATAGTGAAGTCGCTGATGTATGAATGCGTAGCATTGAATTGTAGAGGAGAAAGCGCCCTTTTCAACTGGTTAGTAGTCAACAGTTGTCTATATGCTGTTCGACTCAGTGGTTTTGTAAAACCTAGGAAAGATCGAGAGACTAGCGGATAGGTATTCGTAATCTTCGCCTACTCACTCACTAACTGCAGTTTGGATGATGCAAAGGATGAATTCTATGAGAAGCTGTCAACTTTGGCACAGAAGAAAAAATGTTCAAACGTAGTCATAATAACAGGCGACTTTGACGCTCAAATAGGGAAGCTGAGTCAATCGGAAAGGTATCTTGGAGGTATCTGCGGAATCCCATGCCAACGAACCAACAACGGTGATCGTCCTTAGTACTACTATACTATTCGGGCTATGACTGACCCACTGTAGCATTAGATTATGTACAGGAAAACAAGGTCAGACAAGACTTCCTGACGACATGCAAAAATTCAGTGTACTGTACTGTCACTTCAGTTGGTCTAGTGACAACGTCGCATGCTTAGTCGATGGACTTCGGTCATTGCTGAGCATTTAGAGGTATATGGCGGCGTCAAGATTTTAGTCATTATGGCAAAAGCTGTACAGATTTCTTCAATTGTATGCCTTCTTTCCTTGAAATCATATCAAAATGGCGATAATGCTGAAGGGGGGGTATGTGTATACCATTTTCAAGATTTATCAATAAATGAATTTCGAAAGCGGAAAACATTTTATTCAAACGCCATATTTAGTGAACAAAAAATATTCTCTTCGATAACTTTCCCTCCTTCTTCACTACGTCCTACAGTAATTTTTCCATCAACAATATTGAAATCTGACTTATCAGTTTGTCAAAAGCATCGAGGATGGCAACATGCTTTGAAGCGAATAACCTCATTTAAAATGACATGAGAGTAGATCTCTAGCACTGTGGTCGGTTGTAATCCATTCTGATAGATTTATGACACAGCGAAGGAATAGTACTACCTACTGGATTACGTTCCGGATGCAACCCACCGTCCGAAGTCATATCAAGATAACCATACAACTTTGAGACATGATCCGTATAGTTCTAACTTTCTCACTTCCTTTGTGATATGAGCAGTCAGACTTACCATATATCCCGAACAGGTGCTGAGTCATTTCTGTTGCATGCTCTACTGGGTGCTTATTTGATAATAAAGACACAGTTATCAATCTCTCATCCCACCCTGCTAGGTCAGTTTTATGCAATCCCACTTTGTCTCATCTTGATATGTGATTGTGCATAGTTGCATGCCAGCTATGGCCGAGCTTTTCTTGAATGCCTTATCTTATTAGGATCTACTAATTTTGATTTCGCTAGGTTTTTGTGCTTGGATATTCTAACTGGTTCTGGTTAACTGCTTCGACGTATGTATTTAAACTTCTAGTAGCTGCAAATTATTCTACCTAATCGCATCAACAGAGTCTTTTGACCCATACACCTTGTTTTTAAGTGAGTTTGTAATCTACAACCCTAGCCTTAATGAGGATCCCATGCAATGTAACTGAAATGTCTTCCTTGAATGGTAATATTGTGGAGATTTTGAATTATCTCCTCACAATATTGATGCTACTATTATTGACATTATTATTACTATTTCTGTTAACACTTGCGTACTAATAAACTGACCAGTAACACATTCGAATTTCTACTGATTCACCTTTCAGTTTCAATTTCTAGACTGACTCACCTCTTCGTTGTCAAGCTTGAACCTTTGTCTTTTAGAATTAAATGTAAGTGCCGAGTTGTCGGCTCAAAATTTTCTCTTCCTCCTTTCCCCTCACATTCTCGCAGTCACCACAAAACTCGCACTGCTCTACGTGCCCCCAGCAACAATATATCCACAGTTTAGACGAAAAACCCATCGATGATTGCTTGCAACACTGTCTACATTGACAAATGAGTTATGTTCTTGTCATTAAAAATTCCCATTATCATTCAAAAGTCAATTTCAATGAGTAGAGAATATTCTCTTCGATAACTTTCCCTCCTTCTTCACTACGTCCTACAGTTATATGTACACATTGAGGAACTTTTTCCATCAACAATATTGAAATCTGACTTATCAGTTTGTCAACACAGTTAAGGAAGTCAATTCAGAAAAGTCTTGTGTGAACAGTAATGATAGAATGATTTATTACTCGAATTCAATTCAGCGAACTACTTGATTTCCAAGAAGGATTATACGGTTTATGTAACACTATCAAGTGATGGTTTGATCAAACAATAAGAAGGTGTTTATGAGAGTTGGATGAAATCAACTAAGAAGGATGGATAATTTGAGGAATAATAACTTGATAGAATGTTCCTGATGTTAGGGAACGAATTAAGTTAAGAGAATGTGCTAAGACCATTTGAGATAATCAAGATGAAGGACGATATCTACAGAAAGGAGAATGAAAATCAGATTCCTTAGTGTAGGATACTGAGGAATTTGTGCTTCATCGGTCCAGCCACGGTAGTTGTAGCTGTTCGTTTTTCTTCGACATATAACTGAGATCATTTGATTCTGATTGCTACTGCTTCTGCAATCTGAAGGATTCGGAGTCGGGAACTTTTTGTCAGGTAGATGGTAACCTGGTACATAATGGAAAACAACCTATTCATATCCACCTTATGGTTTGTTCCAACCAAGTGTGTCAATATGCAGCTGATAATGATGTTTGCCACACCTTTACTTGACCACACTGTGAGGTGTTTGAGAGCATGGAAAATTGATGTGTAGACCAGCGACTGACGTAACTGACTGATAGGATTAGTCGAACTGATAAACACAATAGGAAGTGACTAGTATAAGCAATTTACCATTTCGGTGTCGGTGCCACCATTGAGGGTATTGAGAATGTAATGTGTAATTTACCAGCACTAAAAGTTTCCCCGAATTGAATAAATAAGTTACGGATTTCATAATTTTTTGGTGATTTTTCTTTAGTTTTAAATTTCCAAGTGCTATTTTTGTTCAAACGGTACAATAGTTTGGAAGTGCTGTTGAATGTGTGTAGCTTTTTGATATGAAATTCCGTGTGTAACAAGTGTAGTTGTTGCATTAGCTCGAATGGACTAGTTGCTGACGAAATCTCAGCTCGAGTACAGAAAACCTATTTGGCATTTGCTAACTTGTGTCATCTGTGGCGCTGCCTGATGAGATATCCGATTGTCTACCAATGGACGAGGATACTGCACTGCAGTCTATTCTTTCCTGCTATGCGACTATGAGACAAGACCATTGCCAGTGGAAGATTTGAAGCAGTTACACGGTTCCTGGTGGTGAAATCACCATATGAGGAATGTTGAGGTGAGGTGAAGGGTACCACGCAGGTCAGTCTATGAGGTTGTACGGCTTTATCGATTGAGGTGACTTAAACATATACTGTGCATACCGAACCACCACCTTCCTCTATGTTAAGTGTTAGTCAGTATCGGATTAGGTTTTGGGGAGGTTCAGGATATCGAGTCAATGGACTCCCTAGCCGTTAGTCTGAATCGTATGGGGAGATGTAGACTACCTGACTGAGGTCCCTGAGACGAGAGGAATTAGTGGTTGAGAACTCTGATACTATGCACCTGTTCTTTGTGTACTACCACGGTGAAGTTAGACAACGAGAACCGATGCACTTGTGTACGGGGATTTACACTGATTTCGCCAGTCGGTCAGTCGGAATAGGTTTTAACAATTGCTATATATCTCTACCTCATCTGTTTTTCTCTTCTATCTTGTAGTTTTTTAAGTAAACCAGGTCGTAATGTGTTTCAAAGGATTCGAATCGTTAACTACTATTAACAACAGTAGTGATAAGATTATGCCGTACCATGTTTATGTAATGCAGCGAAAACGGGACTTCAAGTGAACGTAGAGCAGACACAGGTGATGGAGATACCCAACCGAAAACAGCATCAACAACAAGCACCAATCACCATCAACAGGAGGAACTTAACGGAAGTAGCATCTTTCACCTATCTAGGCAGCATCGTCTCAACTACAGGTGGCACAGACGAGGACGTCAAAGCAGCCAGGATCGGTAACACAGAAAGACAGGCATTCCTTCATTAACCTGAAACCAGTGTGGAGATCTTCTGCACTGCACTCAGTATAAAGCGTGAACAACATCCAGATTTTCAACACCAACGTCAAGTCAATGCTTCTATATGGTTCAGAAATTTGGCGCATCACGAAAAGCACTCCCAACAAACTACAGACATTCATCAACAGATGCCGTCTACCCTCACTCGATACTGAAGATCAGATGGATTGCCAGAATAATAAGAATAAGCAACAAGGAACTCACTCTGGGAACGAACCAACCAAGAACCTGTCACTCAACAAATATTCAGTGGAAGAAAGTGTAGATGGATTGGGCATGCACTGAGAAGATCATTTGGAGACATCATGCGTCAGGGCGTGGAGTGGAATGCAAAGGGGGAAACAACAAGTTGGGCGTCGCATCTGAGGGTGACATGAAGGAGATGATGTGAGGAAGAAATGAAAGCTTGTGAGCTGTCGTGGAGCCAGATTAAAAAGACTGCAGAGAATAGAGTGTAATGGAGACGTACTACTGAAGCCGTATGTTCCACTAGGAACCCAAAGGACATATAATTATAATGTTTATGTAATGCTGATGATGTTGGTTTTTTAGTTTCAATGTTTAGTTATCTGATTATTCGATATATCATTTTTATTTTATTTTTTTCAGAAACCCAATTATATTTTTTAATTTGTTTTTTCTCTAATTTTTGTTTTGTTTGCCTATTCTTTTTACAGAATGTGAATATGCTCGACTTAGAAAGAAACATCTTATATTTCTGCGTGTTGAACGTGATTTTCGTCCTACTGGTTGGTTAGGTTTAATATTAGGTTCAAGGAAATATATTGATTTTTCAGGGAAATATCCTTTTGAAAAGGTTTTCAATGAGTTATGCACAACTATTGTAAGTAACAAGTTATTATTATTATTATTATTATTATTATTATTATTATTATTATGAGAATAATTTGTAACTTTTAATTTATTCGTGAATTCACAGAATTCTGTACAGTCTAAAATTTATCAATTTAACTGTAAAACTTAGGCATTGTATTATTATTACTTTTTCCCTTGGGTTCCCAAGGGAACATACGGCTTCAGTAGTACGTCTCCATTACACTCTATTCTCTGCAGTCTTTTTAATCTGGCTCCACGACAGCTCACAAGCTTTCATTTCTTCCTCACATCATCTCCTTCATGTCACCCTCAGATGCGACGCCCAACTTGTTGTTTCCCCTTTGCATTCCACTCCACGCCCTGACGCATGATGTCTCCAAATGATCTTCTCAGTGCATGCCCAATCCATCTACACTTTCTTCCACTGAATATTTGTTGAGTGACAGGTTCTTGGTTGGTTCGTTCCCAGAGTGAGTTCCTTGTTGCTTATTCTTATTATTCTGGCAATCCATCTGATCTTCAGTATCGAGTGAGGGTAGACGGCATCTGTTGATGAATGTCTGTAGTTTGTTGGGAGTGCTTTTCGTGATGCGCCAAATTTCTGAACCATATAGAAGCATTGACTTGACGTTGGTGTTGAAAATCTGGATGTTGTTCACGCTTTATACTGAGTGCAGTGCAGAAGATCTCCACACTGGTTTCAGGTTAATGAAGGAATGCCTGTCTTTCTGTGTTACCGATCCTGGCTGCTTTGACGTCCTCGTCTGTGCCACCTGTAGTTGAGACGATGCTGCCTAGATAGGTGAAAGATGCTACTTCCGTTAAGTTCCTCCTGTTGATGGTGATTGGTGCTTGTTGTTGATGCTGTTTTCGGTTGGGTATCTCCATCACCTGTGTCTTCTCTACATTCACTTGAAGTCCCGTCTTCGCTGCCTCTTCTGTCAACTTGTTAGTTCTCGCCTGTAGATCTTCGAGTTTGTATGATAAGACATTAGACATAAATCATCACCGGAGAAATCAAAATCTTCTTCTGTGGTCTTTTCATCGGTCCAGCCAGTGTATGCCCATCTTCTCACTCCTCAAGGTTTGCTGCATGATCCAGTCGACCACAATGAGGAAGATCATGGGTGATAGTAGGTAGCCTTGTCTTTCTCCTGTCTTTACTTCAAGGGCGTCACTGAGTTGCTTTCCATTATGGATTACTTGGCATATGGCGTCTTCATTTAGCTGTTGAATGAGGTTGATAAAGGTTAGTGGCACTAAAACCGTCATGTTGAAGCAGTTTTCAAATTACTCCTCGGTCGACGCTGTCGAAGGTCTTTTCAAAGTCAATGAAGTTGAGGTATAGTTGAGCTGGCTTCCATTCTATACTCTCCGTTCTATGGTGATGCACAGCGTAGCGTTGCGATTTGATCCGCACATGATTTGTTCTTCCTGAAGCCAGACAGCCAGCCTGTTCCTGTCGTAATTTTTAATCCGGCTCATCTCTTAGTCTTTCCAGGATGACGCGGCTTAATATTTTGCTTGTGGTGGTCAGAGGTGAGGCATGATTCCGCACCAGTTCTTGCAAACACTTGGGTCTCCATTCTTTGGGAGTTTGACAAGGTAGCCGTTCTTCCTTCCATCCTTCCTTCCAAACCTTCTGCAGTTGTAGTGTGAGCATGTCCACTATTGTCTCTGCATCTGTTTTCAATAATCAGTCCCACCCTATTGTGTGGTTGTGTGTTAATACATCCATATATTGTAATAGCCGAGTTTTTTCCCGGATTATTGATATCATTCGGGCCTTTCATTCTATATTTAGCTATTTTCCTATATTCCGCTGATCTAACTGTCCCCGCCCAGCTAGTTTGACTTCACCTCCCGGTCATTACATTTAATTTGACAGATTAGATTATTTTGCTTAATTGGTTCTATCTAATGCTTAAACCAGCCGAAGAAGCTTATCTCTAATCGAGTTTGTAGGTTTAAATGCCACCCTAATTCCGTCTTCGTTGTGGATCCTACGTAATGTGTATGATGTACCTTCCTTATATGGTAACACAATAACAATAACACGAGTAGAAGTAAGTTTTTAGCCTCGATTGTGTTACCCTATAAGTAAGATTCATCATACACGTTACGTAGGATCCACAACGAAGACGGAATTAGGATGGCATTTAAACCTACAAATTAACTCAGAGATAGGCTTTTTCGGTTTGGGAAAAATAACCTAATCTATTGAATTCCATGTAATGACTGCGAGGTCAAACTAGCCGGTCGAGGACAGTTAGACTAGCGAAGCATAGGAATTAAGCTTAATATAGAATGACAGACCCGAATAACTCGGCTATTCCAATGCATGGATCCATTAACACACAATAGGGTGGGTGGTATAAAACCACTGTACTTAAGTTCAATGTAATTAGGTGGGGATAAAGGGGATTGATTACTGAATCATTGTTCATCGAATCAGTCAACACCCAACCCAATACATGTAATAGGAATGACCAGAGATCTGGAAAATTTTACTAACATTAAAAACAGAGCATATCAGGTGGGTGGTAGGATTATAAAACTCAGATATCGAAAGCGTTGTATAATTATATTGATATGATTATGAGCAATAATAATTTATACGCGAAATGTTGTCATCACGTAAATGATACTGTATCACTGTGTGTAATAAATCAAATAAATAAATCTAATATGGAGTTGAAAATTTACTTTCTATTTAACGTGCTTCACTATGCTTTATTTAATATTCACAAATCAATTCACATGGTGTGCTACGTGTACAATTGATCTAATATCCGGCTATCTGTTAAGGATCGAGTGTACTGCACTACAGTTCCCTTTGTGATATAATATGACGATTGAAGATAGAGTTGATATGAGAAGGTTTCAGGTGTGTAAATAACTACTGTTGCCTTGGTAGCATAAACCGTGTGTCGTGGTTTCACAAGGTGAATAATACAGAAAACAGGAGGAGGAAAAGGAGAAGACTGAATTGTCTGAAACATGTATTGCGCATGCCTGGTCACTGTTTACCTCCTTACATAATGTTAACTGAATTAAGTCGAAGCTAGAAAAAGGTTATAGGTGACTTAACCAAAACATATGAAGTCTTTGATTATTGGTTTGATCCATGTTGGGGAATGTAGACTAATCGGTTGGGGTTTCACGTAACAACAGAAACCGGTGGTTTAGGACTCTGTGTGATTATGACCCAAAAACTCTGTCAGTGGTGCAGATTCGTCCACATTTTATCTTCATCTTAGGCACTAGCCTGAATTCAGCATTTGTTCTTCCCTCCTTGCTCTCTTTTACTGTTTTTGACCGACTTCAGATTACTACTTTGCTACTACTTAATATGTTGATGTAAGATGTGAAAGTCTGGACCGTTGTGTAATAATGCTTAGACCGTCTTATGTTCATATTAATAATGATGATATGTTGTCAAAAGTCATTTTATTACATCTGATCAAATCGACACATAGGTCTAATTATTTTGTCTAACTACTCAAATCTAGCTTGATGGAGTAGTGTTCGAACCCGTGATCCACTGATTGAATATCGATTCAATGATCTGATTTTTATAACTTTCTTCCTGTTGGGCATTATATAACAGATTGTTTAGATGGGATAAAAAAGAACGTAAGATAGATGAATGACTACTTACCTAGTGATTATCAAAGTGACCACATAACGCATGTAAATGAAATAATTCAGTGTTGTTCCTAATTGTTTATCCGCTCTGCCCCCCTTTCCCTCTTTCTTGTTAAAATGAAAGAAGAGAACGGATCAATACTACATAGACCACTAGGTCTCAGAAGTTTGTATGGTTGCTTAGGTGCAGTTAATAGGCAGTGAATTATCTTTGAAGCTTTGTTCTCTGAGTGTAAGAAGTAATCATGTGTTAATTGTGTAACATACCTAACCCTAATGAATCAATTTGCGTGTGATACCTATTCTGCTTCAGTTTTCTGATTTCATATTAGAAGATTAATTCATTTAATTTGTGTAGCAAACAGAGTATTTAGTGCATGACATCTCGAACAGGCAGACAGACAGACAGTCAACGCAGAACCTTGTACACAGGCGCATCAGTTCAAGTTACCACACTTCATATTAGCGTGTAAAGAATTAGTGAATAGAAAAAAACTGATATCAAAGTAGACAAAGTTGTGTGAGAGAAGAAAAAACTTGTAGATAACGGTTAGTACAAGTATCCAAGCTTTAGAAGATGTCAAGGAGTGAATAAATCTGTGCCATTGTGACCGGTTTCCAGCCAACAGTCCTCAACAACTGATTCCTTTCGTTTCGGGGACCCCAATCAGGTAGTTTAAATCACCCCACAAACGGCTTAGATCATCAGTTAGGCACTTCATCGAGTTGTATCACATCTTGGTTTAGCCACCTTGAATCTATTCTCCAACCTAATCCAACTTCGTCTAGCATTGAACGTTGAGGTAAGCAATGTCTTAATACATGTATAAGCCATCTCAGTTGACTAAGGTTCACAAACTCTAACAATTGTTTACATGATGATTCTATCAGATGTAAGCAACATCTCAGGTACAATTTTTTTATTCATAATCAATATTCAGGTGTTTATAAAGAAAAAGTTTGTTATACGTGAAATGTCATTCAGTAAAAATAGTATTCGTTTCTGCACTATCTGATAAATCTGTCTACCGAAACGCTCGTATAAATTGACTGACTAAGTTACTGAGTGATAATGTTAAGGCAAGTAGGCAATGATGATTTAGGGGGGTTATCTTGTAAATGTGTAATCAATCGAATGGATAAATCGCTTAGTAAGTAGTTGTATATTGGTATGACTGGAAGTGTCTGAAAAGTGTAAGCCTTGTCATCAAGGCTCAGCAATCATCCATTCATTCATATTATGGTGGAAACCCCATCTTCATGTGGTATAATGATTGCTGTTACATGAATAGGTAAGTTGAAGAGGCACTTTGAACCCGTAAACAATTTGGATTCTTGATCACCGTATATTGATTAGTAATCTTTTCCATCGATATTATCATTTGTTCATATATACATTTCTTGAGATTACACATTCTTCTTCCATCTTTTCATATTGATTGTAGGAACAGCTTGCTGGTTTACCAATCCCGGTAGAGCCTAAAAGGTTAGTGAAAAGAGTAATTCATATAAACTGTCAATTCAATTTTTTCTCCAATTCATATGATAGTTTTCCTTTTCCTGTCATCCTGATCTTGGTGACTAGCCAAGTAGTTCATGACGAGCGTTTCGTCTTATTTGTGACTCATCAGCTGAATGTACCTGCATCCCAGTGAATGATGTTGTTCCCGCTTAGTCTCGAACCCAGTATCCTTCGCTTCAAACTCTAAAGCATTACCCAATAAGTCACTGGTGCACGATAGCCACCTGTCCCTGTGTGTATTTGTAGCGGTAAATATCTTCATTCAACACTGTTTGCTATCTGTTCATATTTCAGTGATTAGGTCGATATGTGGTTTGATTATGAAAGTGTGCAAACTCAATCCATTGCTCATCATTCATTCTAGGCACTCCTTTTCTCCATCAATGATAGATCACAGGTTTGGGTCCAATTTAATCTACCGAGGTAGTGTCATCCACCTTCGCACAATAGGTGTTGTTTATCGCCTACACTGCACGAATGTGCAGACGTGTGAATAGCTTGGTATCATTTAGTATTTTCTTAAGGAAAATCTTTGATCTTATTGATAACGGTGGGTGATTGAGAGTAGAGTGAGAATTTCTGGACATGGCAGGAATCGAACCAGCGACTTCTGAATGATCGACGTAATGCTTTGCTGACTGAGTTATGAGATTCATCTGCTGAACCGATCTTCAACTTCCATATGAAACCGTGATGCATCATTGTCCTTTCATTACGATGTGCATGTGTAATATTCCTAATGATTTCCAAACACTGGCTGTTATTTCACTCTCCGTATTAATGGATAGTTTAGACGGCGGTTTATGTGAGAAAGCTGTACACTTTGAACTGAATCTTTGAGTTGTATGGTTGGTTAGTTGTTCACTAAGGCCTCTGGTCACTCACTAGTATACCCCGTTAGTTCACGCTGACATTTATGTAGTTAGGCATAATTTCTGATGTTCGTAGAAACAATCATTCTTAGAGTTATTTTTATCTGTTATGGTTTTCATAAGGAGGCTGAAAACCAATTTTAAATTTAAGTTATCACTCTAGACATCCAACCTGAGTGAAGAAATTCCATTTCAGTCTGACATAGTAAAGGAACAGTATTATTTACTGGATAACATTTCAGACATCATTTATTGTCCATATTCATACCAGATAACTCTACAACTTTGAAACAGAGTTCATATGATACTGATTCCCACCCCTTCTTTGTGATGACAAGGAGACTAGAATTTTCCATATATCTACGACAGGCGCATGCATTCGGTGTTGATTCGATGAACAAAGATTCAGTCGGTTATCAATCTCTTCCTCCCTCCATCCATCTGCCGTTCTATCCTATCCTATTATATGATTCTGTGCGATGGCATGCATAGCTATAGATTCCTTATCTTATTAGCACCTACTAGTCTTGATTTAGCTGGATTTTGTTGCTTGCATAGCCTAATTGACCCTGGTCGACTACTTTCACCTGTGTATTTAACATTGCAGTGATTGTGAAAGGAATTCGGTAAACCGAATTATTTTGTATAACTGTATCAATGAGATCTTTTAACCTACAAGGCTTGTTTCTCAGCTAGCTTGTTGGTTTTGATGCTACTCTAATCCCAGACAGTCTTATTGAGAATTCTTCACGATGCTTCCAAGATGCCTTCCTTGTATGGTAAAACCGTAGGTAAAAACTTAGGTTAGGAGTTATCGAGACACGAGATATTCATGATGTGCTTCGTTTCTTGTCGTAGCTTACTAGTAGAACGGAAAATCTGCGACAAGAAACGAAGCACATCATGAATATCTCGTGTCTCGATAACTCCTAACCTAAGTTTTTACCTACGGTTTTACCATACAAGGAAGGCATCTTGGAAGCATCGTGAAGAATTCTCAATAAGACTGTCTGGGATTAGAGTAGCATCAAAACCAACAAGCTAGCTGAGAAACAAGCCTTGTAGGTTAAAAGATCTCATTGATACAGTTATACAAAATAATTCGGTTTACCGAATTCCTTTCACAATCACTGCAATGTTAAATACACAGGTGAAAGTAGTCGACCAGGGTCAATTAGGCTATGCAAGCAACAAAATCCAGCTAAATCAAGACTAGTAGGTGCTAATAAGATAAGGAATCTATAGCTATGCATGCCATCGCACAGAATCATATAATAGGATAGGATAGAACGGCAGATGGATGGAGGGAGGAAGAGATTGATAACCGACTGAATCTTTGTTCATCGAATCAACACCGAATGCATGCGCCTGTCGTAGATATATGGAAAATTCTAGTCTCCTTGTCATCACAAAGAAGGGGTGGGAATCAGTATCATATGAACTCTGTTTCAAAGTTGTAGAGTTATCTGGTATGAATATGGACAATAAATGATGTCTGAAATGTTATCCAGTAAATAATACTGTTCCTTCACTTTTTCAGTCACAATTCTAATAAGGACACGAAAATGGAATTACAATCTACCACAATGGTCAAATTTTACTCTAATATAACTGAGTACAAAATGTTAGACTTTCATACGTTCAATTCCCTATACTCATCAAGCGATAGTTAAACGCTGTTGATCAATTCTAATTGAAGATAAAACTGAGTTCCTGGAATCCAGTGCTAACCGCTATTCATCATTACTACCTTACCATTTCGTCCTGAGATTAGCACCAAGAAATATCCTACATAAAATAGTTTAACAAGATAATGAAGACGTAAAAGCGGAGTACACACTCCTGAGGTGTCCCATACTAGTGGGACAAAACAGCTTGTTATCCAGTGCTCCCAGTTTTCTAGTTTTTCTCTAGATGATGTAAGTCCATGATGAATTCAAACCTAAAATCAGTATACCGGTAGACAAAATATAAGTGGATGAGAAAATTGACTATTACAGAAGCAGTTTTAAGAATACACTTTGAAGAAGTTTTTATGAATATCTTACTTTCTTCTTTGTAACAGAAGAAATAGAGTATGAAGCGTTCATCATATGATAAGCACTAGTTTTGTTTCTGCTGCTGTCGACAGATGGGCTCTTATGCAAATGCCTCGATACTGCCCGGATATTCTTGTTGGTGACTAGCAGAGTAGTTCACGATGTGCATTTCATCCTACTTGGGACTCGTCAGGTGGATGTACATGGACCCCAGTGAGTGATGTTTTCCCTAGTGGAGCACAATGGGTTGAGCGACTCGGCCCTGTATAGCAACGGAAGACTATAAGTATCATAACAACAACAAAACTTATTCCTGTTGCACAAGGAGTGGCTATCGTACCGCAGTGGCTTGGTGGATAACACCCCGGCGTTTGAAGCGAAGGGTACTGGGTTCGAGCCTCAGTGGGAATAACATCACCCATTGTAGTGCAAGTACATTCGGATGATGAGTCACAAACAGGGCGAAACGCGTATCCTGAATTCCTCTGCTAGTCATCAATATCAAGTGTACAGGTGGACTGAACTTTGAGCCAATACTGACCAATTGAGAAAAGTACAGAAAGACATGAAGAACAATTTTGAAAATGAATCTGATAAAGTAGTTCACAACTGAAAATAGTGTAGTAGGAATGAAGTGAGGTGACGTAACAATATATTGAATGGTTCAGTATAAACTTTGATGCACAGTGTATTGAATTGCTCACGGTAAGTTATCAGTGTAAATACTGTTGGGATTACTCTCTGAACACCTAGGCTAAAGTGGGTAGAGTAGAAGAAGTCAACAAGTGAATAAATCTGCTTCATTCTGCAATCATCCATTCATTCATATTATAGTGAAGACCCCATCCTAGCAAGCACTCTCCACCCACCTACACTGCTCAAACCAACAGTCAATGAACTGATGAACTGCTGCCACGTTTTGGTCAGTTCTTCATCAATCAAGTTTCTCTAAAGATCTTAACTCTAAAATCTTTACTAAGAATTTTCAATTTCCTGTGTTTATGCAATCATAGACATTTTGGCCATAGGCTTTTCAATGCCAGGTACGCCAAATTAACAGACATCAAGATGACATGTTTCATATCATTTACACATGAAATACTTCTACAACAACATGCAGAACTACAAAACTTTGACTTGTACACTCCACTGTGGATAAGTAGGTGGTGAGTTTCAGTTCGACTCAACTTCTAAGGTTTGTCTAGACAGATAGAATGATTAGACGGTCACTGTCATGAATGTCTATATGATTATGGAATGCATTCGAATCGACCATTGAATATTGTGTTGATTGTGAAGTGGATGGAGCAGATGAATGGTAGATATGACGAGAGACATTGTATTGATTTCGAGTGTTAACTATGAGGAAGTATAATGGTGAATTATTTTCAATTTTTCATGTTTGTCCATTGTCGAGAATGGACATTCATTCGTCATCAGCATCATCATCATCCTAGTGAGACGAAGAAATGGATAATGTGATAAGAACTTTATTGTCTGATCAGTCATCTTCATGGGTGAGTGAATGGTTTCAAGAAATGTAAAGGTAAATTATCAGTGTAAATATTGTTACCCGAGTTATAGAATAACTGAGATTACTCCCTGAACATGTAGACTGAAGCGAGTAGTTGTCTTTGAGCTTAATGGACAAAGCAACAGTACTGCATAAACTGGTGCATTTCCGGGGTTACTGGTGATCTAAGGGCATAGGTTATTTATTCATGGATTCTTTATCCTGTAGCTAACGTTCACCATAGGATTCTCCATCTGCCTTGAATGCATCTTCCATTTCCACGACTTCGATGGTAAACCTTGTACATTTGCTTCCAAGCTTTCACTTTTGTAGAAATCATTCTCTCCGAACTATACAGGGAATAAGATTTTCTCCGCAAAGTCTATTCATGTCATATCCAAGTAGGCTCATCTCCAAGGTCGGTGTACGGTAGGAATCAGTAGTATGCTATGACAAGTCCTTCTTGTTGGTTCTAGCGAGTCGGCTTTTATACACCTGAAATATCATTTACTTTGATTATCTTCCACAAGATAATGAGAGTATATGCTAGAAAATGTACCATCTGAACGGACTAAATTAGCTTGTTTGCTTTCGAACTTTCTAATGAATGAATACAATCAATACCTTGACATCAAGTCCTACATGCGTCTCCTGGTGAATGAAAACGTATGCTTTCCAATAAATATATATTACTGAGATGATTGGATAGTATTCATCATGGACTGACATCAGTTGGAGAACCATTGAAAACTTTGAAGCACTGGACAGCTGCTTCGTCCTAGTATGGGACTCCTCATCAGTGATATACTTTCAGATGGATATCACGAAGTTCTAATTAGAAACCATGACTTGTGGATTCAACCAGTCAGAAGGGAAATGGATAGCATCTGAAGATCTTGAGTGATAGTTGTACTATATTGAGCATTGACAGAACCACTGAACTACGACGCTAGTGGTGGCTGAAAAGTTAACACATTCACCGTGAAACCTGAAGGTCCTGAGTTCAATTCCTAACTGGGTCGTGTACACATACTGCTGAGGAGTTGCATACTAGGATGATACAACTGTTCAGTGCTCCTAGACTGTCAATGGTTCCTCAACTGATAACAGTCCTTGTTGGATGCTACTTCAGTAGATGACAACAGTGTTTGTTGGATTGTTCATCCTTAATACTGTCGTATTTGTTGTTATTGATATAAATATTGCTAATCTTATGTACATAAACAGTTTGAATTGTCTGCATTAATGAGATTATAACTAACTGGTTTTCTCCGCTCTCTCCCCCCCCCCTCCCTCACCCTTTATTTCTTTACTAGGGAAAAAGGATGTTATAACTACTTTATGTAGAGCAATATACGTTGTATTTATGATGAGAATATATGATTAAGAAATTTCCATCGATTTCATAATCCATCCTTCAACCTTACCTTGCTTATCAACTTCCCGTTTATTATGTTTACCTTCAAATGTTGCACCAATACATACCATAGATAACTAATCACAAAAGTAGTCATAAAATTTAGGAGAAGAATTCAACCTATCTACAAATCACAGTTTCTTATTTTTCTTTATGCAAAGACCATATAATCCTTTTCTAATATGTCTTTCTTGTGTGTATGTGTGTGTGTTGATGGCTTTTTTTTTGATTATGCAAAATTGTTTTTGATTTTCTATTAATTTCAATTTTTACAACGATACAAAATTGAATTGGTTTTTGTATTGTTTGAGTTTGTTCTAGGATGAAAAGTGGGATTGTGCGTCGAGGAGTTTTATCCTATGCAGAAAAGGATTGATGCTTTTTTTTTCAGATGTTATCATTCTGTTGAATTTTTGATGAATCTGTCCTATATTGTTGAAGCTCAAATAATGTCGATCATGAAGAAGTAGAAGACTGTTCGTTATTCGTGGTGATCTTTGAATGCATTGCCTTGTGAACAAAAGGTGAAGTCTTTCAAGTAGTTTGCCTGAAATCATTATCCCGCAATAGTCCACTGGATACACGCATACACAAGCACACACACACGCTGGATATAAAACAAAAGAAAAAGATCAGATTAAATTGTTCGACTAGAGATTTATATTTGGTTATGTGCTAAGGAGTTATCAGTCAGTTAGTCAACATCAACATACCACCTGGAGTTGTTATCGTCTGCGTAACGACGTATGTTGTCGCATATGTCTTCTCAGATGGAAGAAATTAGTCACAGAGATAGAAAATTGTGTGAAAGCAACAAGAATGAGTGAAACAATAGGGAAATTTGGAATGAGGATTGAGGTGAAGATGATAACGTGGATGTTTCTGTATCACTGATATCGATTCTAAGCAATATCACCTACAGTCCTCAATCGGGAAGTCTACATTTCCCTACACGGCTCAGACGAACAGTCACAAACGTCATCTACTGTTGTTGTGTTTTAGTTCGGCCGCTTTTAACCTTTTTCCAACGTAAACCTACATTGCGTGACGAGGCTGACGGCGACTAGGCATGTGTGTAAGTACGTTTCTCAGCCAACCAGCCATTCATATCGATGAAGGTTTTCAACCTCATCAATTAATTGACTGAGATGAGAAAGCTATTTTTGGTTGCAGGTGTGTAAGACCGGAGTATTATAGCTCATCATACTTTCACTGAGTGCAAACACGTTGAAACTGTTAAGATTAACACTTTAAATTTGGGATCTTCCGAACTATCGTTTATCAATGCTAAACGGGTTTTTTTCAGCTATAGTCAATTCCCGTCACCCTTCTTTGTTTTTGTAGGACAGCTGGACTTGAAATCAATGTTGATCAAAATACCATTAGTTTGCAAGCAGTTGGTTGTATGAAGCGATAACCAGCATCAAAGTATTTGATGCGATTGATATATGCGGAATAAGACAAGCAATAGGACAGAGAAATCAAAAGAATGGTACCCTCGGGGATATGATTGGGTGCTCACAAGCAAGCGAAATGCCTCGCTTAACACTGCTCAGAAAAATACGAGTATAACCTCTTTGTTAGTTAGAATTGAGTATAAATGTGTGTAATGATTATGTGCAATTAGTTCAGTCCTACAGGCGGTCAGTCACACCTGAAATAGTTTAGTATTAACGTCGCTGGCTCTGATCTCAGAGGGGATATCAGTTTCTTCGAGTTTGCAGATACTCGTTGCTTACGAATTCCAACGAGCAGGAAACCTATGTGAAGCAGTCCTTCTTATCGACTACCTCCACGCAACATTAGCTTGGTGGCCACATTATAAAATGATCGGTCGGTTCTGAGAACTAGACGGCATGAAGTTGGTTATTCTACAGTGACTACCAGCGAAGAAACTAAGTCAAAGCTGTGTTGTACACTACAAAGAAATACATCTCACATACTCAACATGATTATGTACACTGAATCAATATTACAACGTCCAAATAGTGAGAAGTTCATGTTTCTCCTCATCATTTTGTAAACCAACAGATTTAGGGCAGCACATTTGTATGCTAGAAAGTGATAAATCGGTAGAAGTAGGTTCTTCATTACCTTCGAATCCTACATTTGCAATGAAGGATAAGCAGTCATAGCTTATAATACATTTTTCCTTTGGAACGATTGATTACGTCTTTTTGTCAACGGGTGACACTTTATTGATAGGTGTTCATCTTTAATGACAATGCTCATATGTAGATGAGAAGTCGAACAGGTTACACACAAATATGTCATCAATTAGGACAGATACAGGAAAATGAAAGCAGAACTTAGCACACAAGCGTATCGGTTCTCAAGCAGTCACACCTTCAAAGTAGCATGAAAACAAATGGATAGAAAAAAGAGTGATTTCTTTGTAGATAAAGTTGTATGGAAGGAGAAAGAGTTTAAAAGTTCAGGTTAGTGATAATGTTCAATGCTTAGAAAAAGTGATCGAATGAGTAAATCTACTCCCTTCTGACTCACTTCCAGCCCTATCATCAAGCCTATGCAATCATTTATATTATGGTGAAGACCCCATGTTAGCAAGCAGCCCCCACTCATCTACACTGCTCAATCCAGCAGTCAAAGAACTGATGGACTGTTGCCACATTTTAGTCAGGTCATCATCAACCATGTTTCTCTAACAATTTTAACTCTAAAATCTTTACTAGGAATGTTCAGTTTCATGTGTAAATGGGGATTTATTCGTTAGTATACTTCTTACTCTAAATGAATAAACTTTATTACCTATGAACAGTTAATGTGATTAGATCGAAGTATTTGATCATTTTATTCCAGTTGATAACAGACAATTTTGCTATCAAATTATTCGATATTCAGGTGGAATGGATCATTTAAAAATTGACCCTTTGCTATCATCACAATGCAACGTTAAAACACCTACGCTTTATTATTATTTTTTTTATTACTAGGGCTGACAGTGTACATTGTGATCCTATTTTTTAATGTTTTTCATGTTTATGTTTTATATATATACGGATCATATTGTGAAGATGGTTTATAACGATCATGTAGAGGAGTTCTAGTAGAAATTGTACAACCAATTCATTGATAATCTGTTTAGATTCAAGTTTCCTACCTATACACTAACCTAACACGAATTTATTGACACAGTGAAGTACTGGGATAATATACTCGATGCAAGTTAAGAAAATGCTTAGAAATCGGGCTGCAGCGAACTGGCTGGTCACTATTCTTCAACATTTACACAAACAGCTAGTAAAACAAACATTGTGTAAAAGATGTACTTGAATTTATAGACAATTAAAGATGCTAACATTATAAATAACACTATGATATCACTGGATTCGGCGTCGTTACTCTCTTGAGATAGTCAACTACATAGGTGAGCAGTCAATTAACTTCAAATCTAACAGTGAACTATATAGTCAAGTGAATGGAGTCACGACAGGTTCCACATAATCGTGTTTTTTTTTTCTTTCGAAACTACAAAATAGCTTGCTTGAACGACCTATCAGAGAATTTTCATTTTACTGCCGAAATATGGATGGTACATTCATCCTGCATGAAAACAGCATAGTCAGGTGAAAGATACTCATTAGGTTCGACGCAGTACAGTCAGAGATAAAGTTTACGTGTAAGGAAGAGTCAAAAGGTGAAATGGCTTCTCTTGATGTTCTCCACTCAAAACAAATAGATGGGTTGCTAACGTGGAATTTGGTTAGGATAAAAACATGGACGGAGCAATACACATTTTCTCAGCTTTCCCTTCACTCAGTACAAAATAAATTCAATAGAAACTCTACGTTACAGAATAAAGACTATATGTTCAGAAGATACAGTTGAGGAGGAACTGACAACTTTGTGCAATACACTAATTGAAAATGACTATCCCGCTAAATTTATACAGAAGCATACACCAAAAATGGCCAGGATGGATATTCCAATGGGAAACCAACAGACATTTGATACCTATAAACTAGGAATTACGCTCATTGGTGAATTGCTTATACTAGTCACTTCCTATTGTGTTTATCAGTTCGACTACACATCAATTTTCCATGCTCTCAAACACCTCACAGTGTGGTCAAGTAAAGGTGTGGCAAACATCATTATCAGCTGCATATTGACACACTTGGTTGAAACAAACCATAAGGTGGATATGAATAGGTTGTTTTCCATTATGTACCAGGTTACCATCTACCTGACAAAAAGTTCCCGACTCCGAATCCTTCAGATTGCAGAAGCAGTAGCAATCAGAATCGAATGTTCTCAGTTATATGTCGAAGAAAAACGAACAGCTACAACTACCGTGGCTGGACCGATGAAGCACAAATTCCTCAGTATCCTACACTAAGGAATCTGATTTTAATTCTCCTTTCTGTAGATATCGTCCTTCATCCCGATTATCTCAAATGGTCTTAGCACATTCTCTTAACCTAATTCGTTCCCTAACATCAGGAACATTCTATCAAGTTATTATTCCTCAAATTATCCATCCTTCTTAGTTGATTTCATCCAACTCTCATAAACACCTTCTTATTGTTTGATCAAACCATCACTTGATAGTGTTACATAAACCGTATAATCCTTCTTGGAAATCAAGTAGTTCGCTGAATTGAATTCGAGTAATAAATCATTCTATCATTACTGTTCACACAAGACTTTTCTGAATTGACTTCCTTAACTGTGTTGACAAACTGATAAGTCAGATTTCAATATTGTTGATGGAAAAAGTTCCTCAATGTGTACATATAACTGTAGGACGTAGTGAAGAAGGAGGGAAAGTTATCGAAAAGAATATTCTCTACTCATTAAAATTGACTTTTGAATGATAATGGGAATTTTTAATGACAAGAACATAACTCATTTGTCAATGTAGACAGTGTTGCAAGCAATCATCGATGGGTTTTTCGTCTAAACTGTG